TTAGCCCCGGGGGGTACCCGCGCCTTTCTCTCTGAAACGTCTGTTAGCGACAGGACTTTTTGCACGAATCATCCGCATTTCTCCGACCCCCAAGGCGGCCCCCGGGCCATTAAGGGGAAGCCCCCCGTCCCCCCTGGCCTTGGAAAGAGCCCGGGAGGCGAAACCCCTCTACCGCAGTCCCCGAGCGGGGGCAGGGAACTGACCCGGGCGTTTTCTAAGTGCGGTCAGGCATCTCGGGCCGCGGCGGGCCCCCGGGGCCCCCCGGGGGGAGGAAAGCCGGGCTGGCCGGGCCAAGGAGAAAACAAAAAGGCCCCTCCCCCTTTGCCCCCCCCCCCGCCCCGGGCTGTTGCTGGTGAGGCTTTCGCCCGAGTTAAAACCCCAAGCCTGAAATCTGGGGTGGAGTGGGAAGTTGGAATCGTTCCCCACTCTCCACCCTGGGGCTCGCGCTCCCCGCCCCGAAGGGCTGACCTTGGCCGGGGGAACGCGGGGGAGGGGGGCAGTAAGCACAGGGACTCGGCTCCCAGCCCGCCCTCCCGCCGCCCCCTCGGATTCCCAGCCCAAGGAGGGGGCCCCCGGACACACACACACACCCCACACGCAGCGCGCGCCAATGAGCCCTGGCCAGGGGCAGGGGGCGGGGTTTTCCCAGGCTCGAGCACAGCAGCTGCTATTTACCTTCTTGGCTTCTCCTGGGGACCAGGAACCAGCCCCCGCGCTCCGCCGCCCGCCGCCGCCCCCCGCCTCTCTGCCCCCGGGGCGCGCGCACACACACTCACACACGCACGCACACACACATCCTCCCGGCCCCGGCCGCAGCCGCGGCGGCAATAAAACATCCTGGCACGTGCTCCGGCTCCAGGCGCGCCCTCGCCGGCCGGCTGATGTCAAACTGCAGCTCGGCTGGTGTCGCTCTTAAAGGGCCCGCGTGCGCCTGGTGCTGAGGCTGCGCCGCCGCCGCCGCCGCCGCCCGCCTGGCGAGGAGGAGGGGAGAGGCTCCTGCACAGCCCGCCACCTCTAAGTGCCACCGAACCGAGAGCCTGCGGGTTGAAAGGGAAAGGGTGGAGATGGCGCGTCCCTAAGGCATTGCCATCAAAGTCCTCCTTGTTCATCTTTCATTTGAAATTCTATTTCCTTTCTGCCCAGTTGGAAATTATTCTGATTATTTCCAGAGGAAGAGCGGGATCCAAGCCCCAACTCCTGAAGAGGAATGAGGGGTGAAGATCAAAAACCACCTTGCTCTGAACGACCTGCAAATGTAAGGTGGGAGGCATTTTTTTCCCTTTTCTGCATGACAAAAGGACATATTTTTTGTTCTTTTTCTGCATGATCGACTTTCACCCCCGCCCCCCAATGTATAGTCTGAGCGGGAAATTACTTGGATGTGTCGGTAACTCACACCCTTGCACACGTTCCCCCTTTTAACCACTGCAAGTATAATCTTTTACCCTGTCCTTCTAAACCTTTTAAAAATATTTTTCAAATTAACTTAGTGTCAAAGCAGCTCTATTACCCATTTGAAAGGAAATGAAGAGCAAAGACCGTAGCCCCCAAAGAAATAAACTAGACTAGAGCAAAACCAATGCGGAAAAAATCCTGCCTAAAGCAAAGCCCAGCAGGGATAGTATCAAAGGGTTAAAATCCTTTTGATTGACGTTGTAGCCTCCGGTGCCCCGGGCTCAGGCGCGCGCCATTGGCCGCCAGGCCTTGTGCCTGGCGGCCAATGGGGGGGCGCGGTCCACGAGCGGTGCCGCGTGTCTCCTCCTCCCATTGGCTGAAAGTTACTGTGGGAAAGAAAGTTTGGGAAGTTTCACACGAGCCGTTCGCGTGCAGTCCCAGATATATATAGAGGCCGCCAGGGCCTGGGGATCACACAGGATCCGGAGCCGGTGCTGATAACAGCGGAATCCCCTATCTACCTCTCTCCTTGGTCCTGGAATAGCGCTACCGATCACCAAGTAGCCATAAGATATTATAATAAACGCTCAGCACTTGCTCAGTAGTTTTGTGAAAGTCTCGAATAAAAGGGACATAAAACAATTTTTTTTCGAGTGTGTGTGTGAAGGACTCCAAAAATAAAATTCTCTAGGGATTAAAAAAAAACAACAACAGAAAATGCCAGCTGATATAATGGAGAAAAATTCCTCGTCCCCGGTGGCTGCTACTCCAGCCAGTGTCAACACGACACCGGATAAACCAAAGACAGCATCTGAACACAGAAAGGTAAGGGGAGTACCTGTATCTCTCTGCAGCCCCAAGAAATTAAGCTGGGGTGGGCGGGGGTCTTTTATCCCTTAAAACTCCCTTGGTGAAATGGCAGATCCCATGGGAACTAAGGACTTTTTATTTCTTTACAGTCATCAAAGCCTATTATGGAGAAAAGACGAAGAGCAAGAATAAATGAAAGTCTGAGCCAGCTGAAAACACTGATTTTGGATGCTCTTAAGAAAGATGTAAGTGGATAATGCTGCTTTTTTAGCTTTAATAAATGAAATACTATTTCTCGGGTACTACGTAAGAATGAAATCCTCTCACCGGCGGATCTTCCCCGCCAGCATTGCGTTCTTTGAGGCGGGAGGGCCGGTCCCCTTCAGTGGGGGTCTGGGGAGGTCGGCGCGTGGGAGGGACCCCCAGCACTCCGAGGCTGCCGGCGGGGGTCTCACTTGCCTTCCTTGCCTTCTCTTCTGTGCAGAGTTCGCGGCATTCCAAACTGGAGAAAGCAGACATTCTGGAAATGACAGTGAAGCCCTCCGGAACCTGCAGCGGGCACAGATGACGGGTGAGGGCGGCTTGCCGCATCCCCCTCTGCGGGCGTCCCTCTCACCGGGCGGTGATTTCTTCCAGACTTCCGCCCGTGGTTGTGAGAGGCATTCAGCTACATTTTACTGCCTTGGCTCACTCTTACGTTCCCACGGTCTGGGGCTTATTTATAGCCACAACTCCAAGTTGTTACTGTTCCGGAAAGGGAGGGAGAGTGGTTGCAGCGGCGAGGGCGGCGGGCGGCTTGGCAGTGGGGAAAGCGGGTGGGGGCCAAAGGGCTTAGAACTGGCGTTTTGAGCTGCGTAGAGCCTGGAGGTCTTCTGCTTTAGCAGTCCCTCCTCCCCCATTATAGAAGGGGAAATGAGGTTCGGATGGCCGGGGAAGGGCATTACCCAAGGTCACATCGCACGCGCTGAGTGTGTGGGGGTGGTGGGGGTGGAGGGGGTGGGTAAGATCTAGGGCCGAGATCGGTTTAAATCCAGCGATTAAGAAGGGAGAGAAGGAGCGTCTTGGCTTAAGTCGCCAAGCTAGTGTGGAGAAGTGGATGGTTTTACTAAACCCACCCACCCTAACTGGAGGCAGTTCTGTGGGCCCAGTGGTCAGGAAGGCGCGCCGCGGGGACCTCCCAGGGCGGAGGCGGTGGCCTCGGGGCCAGGGCCTTACGGTGACCTGTCTGTCTCCTTCTGGTCTACAGCCGCGCTAAGCACAGACCCGAGCGTGCTGGGGAAGTACCGCGCGGGTTTCAGCGAGTGCATGAACGAGGTGACCCGCTTCCTGTCCACGTGCGAGGGCGTTAACACCGAGGTGCGCACCCGGCTGCTCGGCCACCTGGCCAACTGCATGACCCAGATCAACGCCATGACCTACCCCGGGCAGCCGCACCCGGTCTTGCAGGCGCCGCCCCCACCCCCGCCAGGACCCGGCGGGCCGCAGCACGCGCCATTCGCGCCGCCGCCGCCACTGGTGCCCATCCCCGGGGGCGCGGCGCCCCCTCCCGGCGGCGCGCCCTGCAAGCTGGGCAGCCCCGCGGGAGAGGCAGCGAAGGTGTTCGGTGGCTTCCAGGTGGTGCCGGCTCCAGACGGCCAGTTCGCCTTCCTCATCCCCAATGGGGCCTTCGCTCACAGTGGCCCCGTCATCCCAGTTTACACCAGCAACAGCGGGACCACCGTGGGACCCAATGCAGTGTCTCCTTCCAGCGGACCTTCGCTCACGGCCGACTCCATGTGGAGGCCCTGGCGGAACTGAGGGGCTCAGGCCACCCCTCCCCACAAACTCAACCTCTCTCTCTTCTCTCGGGACACTAAACAGGAACTTGGATGCTGGGAAAGAAGAGAACTTTTGTGATTAAGTGGTTACTTTGTTTTTTTAATTTCTAAAAAGTTACTTTTTTTGTAGAGAGCTGTATTAAGTGACTGACCATGCACTATATTTGTATATATTTTATATGTTCATATTGGATTGCGCCTTTGTATTATAAAAGTTCAGATGACATTTCGTTTTTTACACGAGATTTCTTTTTTATGTGATGCCAAAGATGTTTGAAAATGCTCTTAAAATATCTTCCTTTTGGGAAGTTTATTTGAGAAAATATAATAAAAGAAAAAAGTGAAGGTTTTTATGTCTTAGAACTGATTATTTCAGAATATGTAAAAAAATAAAGGCACTTGGCAGAATTTGAATTACATGTAATCTGGGAATTCAGGAACTGGCTCTGTTGTTATTCAAAGAACATTTTTTAAAATCCATCAAACCTTTCACCATGAACTATATTCCATTTAATTTGCAAGAACCTATGCAATATGGCTTCTCTGGTCAATTTGTGATAAATTCCTTAAAGAATTTCAAACAGTTAGTTATAGTTGGGTAGGCCATTCAGGGTACCTGCTCCTTCTGAGAAAGGTTGAACAGGACTGAATTCATAAAGTTAATGGATCTAGTACCATTGCCCGGGTCACTTTAAGGGAGGCTCCTGCAGCCCTTCCCCCCTGGGGTAGCTTACCAACATTCAAAGTAAAAACACTCTTAACCAGTGCAGCCTCCAACCTTCAAGTGTTGGAAGTCTTCCTTTAATTAGTCAGCCCTTAGGTTCAGCTAGACATTCCCTCGTACCAGCATCCAAAAGTTTGAAATGCCTCTCTGCACCCTCTTCAAGCAAGCTGAGAAGGTCAACAGATTCCTTCTGCCAAGGGACAGCTAGTTAGACTCCCATGTGGAGCCCAAGTCCAGATGATTAACACCAGACATATGTTTTTGATAAGTTTCTGTGCTTGGCTCTAATAGAGAAAGCATGTGGGGGCCGAGCTGGCAGGCACACAGGCCATCTTCCCCCTTTTAATACAAACAGCAAGCGACCCCTTCGCTTGGTCATGCCCCATTTCCAGGCAAGATGTGGGCTCCAGATAGGAGCAAAAGGCTTGTCTCGGGTTTCAGCTCACATAACCCTCCTTAACAAGTCCTAACTCAAAGCGGACAGCTTTAAACTGTGCCAGGATCTGCAGGGAATTTCTTCCAAATCCCATCACAAAGGCTTGTCAGATTTTGTCAGATTTGGCCAGGTGTTTGACTGCATCCAGGTGTTGGGGAAATGAAAACCACGAGCCCTACGAGACCAGACACATCAGCGGCGCTGTGGGTCTGGCGGGCGCGCCCTCCTCCCGCACTGCCGGCCAGTCCTGCTCCCTGCCAGGCCCCTCCCGCCAGCCTCCTCTCACCACCACCCGCTCCCCCTCCCCCGCCCTTCCTTTAGAAGGGCTTCTGGGAGGAGAAGGATGAGGCGGGAGAGATCAATCTTTGAAGCCTTCCTAACAAAGATAAAACCAACGATTTTCTGTCTTGTTTCAAAAGCTTTACCTCCTCCCCTGCCTTCTCTGGCCTTTCCCACAGGCCAGTGTGGAGAGCAGCTCTATCAAAGGGATGATCTAGCAGACAGTGGTTAGTTTCCTATTCAGATACCTCCTATCCAACTTCAGACTCAGAGGAAGAGATTTAAAAGATACTTTTAAAAATTTGGCTTCTACTTGCTTCATTTTGTGTATGTGAAAAGGGCCCAATACACCCTACGCCCAAATAAATACTAGCACACACACACACCCTTCTTCATCATAAATTTCCAAGATTTCCCTCTTGTTTAAACACAAACATAATAATGATTGCTCTATCAAGACTCCCAACCCAAGCTCCAATACTTCATTAGGTAAACTTAAGGACTAGAAGTCCTTAACTGTCCTGGCAGGAACAATGGAGACATCAGTCCCATTTTTATAAAAGTACATTTGTGTTTTTAAAAATTCTACATTCTCTCCCCCTCCCTCCCCCTCCCCTGCAATCTCTACACCAACTTTAAACTAAGTCTGTCTTTCCCTGTGCTAAAGGGAAACAACAGGGGGAAAGGTGAATTTTTATTAATATCAACAGTACATAGGTATCTTGGGGAGGGTAGTAATAATTTTTTTAAAAGAGGTAAACGTTTGTTCACTTGAAAATAAAAGTGGTATTTTCCCCTGAAATATGGGTTTAGATTACTAGATGAGGCATTTGTTTCTGTACAGTATGCAGAAGGGGAGACCCGGGGCTCCGATGCCCGCTCTGCTACTAAACTCACTGTGTCACTTTGCAGGAGTCACTTCCCTTCTCCGGGACAATTCTACACCCGTAACCTGAGTGGGTTTATTCCTAAGACTTTGTGCTGTCCTGCACCCAGGCTGATTCTGGAGCAATCAGTGGCCCGAGGCGAAGCTTCAAAGACCACTTCAGTCTTGCCCCACCCTCACCAGGATCCCTGGGACCGCCTTGGGGCACCCCCAGCAGCCCCTCTCCCGCCCCGGGCGGCGCTGGTGGCTCCGGGAGATAAGGCACTGCCCCAAGCTCCAGGTCGGGGATGCGGCCACGGGCCTGGGCCGCGCCCGCATTAGCCTCTCTCTGAAGACCCTCCCGGGCCCGGCCCTCTGGGACCCTGCACCGGGAGCGGAAAGCCGCTGACTGGAAGTGCGAC